AGAAGTTCAGCCAGGATGAATCTCCAGATCTAAGATGACGCCTTGATATGAATCTTTGACACCCCGAGCCAAGAGCCAAAGCATTTTTCCAGAAGATGAACCCGCCAACAACCATTCGATTTCATGCGGCTGGCCGTTCCGATACCTGTGCCTCAAGCTCACATAAAAACGCAAAGATTTTGAAAAAAACAACTGAGCCTCCAATACTACCGAGCCCATTTCTCTAATATTTCTGTAATATTTCTATAAATATCTCTTATATGTAATATATATATATATATATTATATTAATTATTCACGAGCACGCCTAACTCTTATATTGAGTTCCTTTTCAAACCTTTACACTGCCAATTCCTTACCATTACGATCATACTTCTCTAACCCACAATATTGAGGTTAAAAAATTATAAGGGTCAAGAAAAAAATGAGGTTAGCAAAATCCACCCTTGTTGGGGTTAGGCAAGGATTCCTTGAGGTTAGCATAGTAGCTTGTAAGGGTTAGAAGCGGGTCTCTTAGTTATGTTGTCCGGCAGTGGTCAGTTTTTGTCACACAACTGCTGGAGCTTCGCCCAGTTCTTTTGGAATCAACCCCCCAAAAAAATTATCCAACACAAATTCGGAAAATAACAATAATTCTTTATTGATGTGTTTTCAGAGCTGGCCTTGGCAGAAACCTATGGGCGATATGTTTGGGGTTTGTTTATTGTATTTTTCGCTGGTTCCGTCAGGAAACATGTACACATATGTACACATAGATTCATATGCACATGCACATTTCAATTCGGTTTTGTCGAATTCACGAAAAACAACGCACGTTTTTTTTTTTAAGTGTCAAAAAACAACAAACAAATTAGCGTTTTTGGCTGTCTGGTTGATTTGAGCTTATGGAATTATTCACAAAGGTTTGGATCCTTGAAAAACAGGAAAAAACAAATGTATGTATATATAAACATATATGTTCTATGTTTCTGTTTTCAGGAACTTGACGCAATTGTGTTTTTCTTATGTTTTTTCTTAAATTGCTTTAGGAATTGTCCACAATAAGAACCGAATACAAACTCGATTGCAACAGGTACTGCTGCTGCTTCAGCACAGGGGACCGAGAACTCAATCCCCAGTTATTTTTTAAAGGACAAACACGTCTCTAGGGGAAATTTAGTGGATTTACTCGAGTGTTGGAAATCACCTGATTTATTTTGTGCCCGTCATGGTCACAAGATTGCGGAAAATTAATCAATTTCTGAATATTTTCGGCAATATAAAACCATAGGTTGTGCACAATGCAGACCATGTGAGATTTTTTCCATGATTTTTCGATTGTTCCATGGGCTTCAGCAAGGCTTTTCGGGTCATCACCATGACACATCATGGTGCTGTGATCAGCCACGAGTAAAATCCCAAACCGGTGGCAAACATGTGGGCTTCCTGTATACTAACTGGTGGAATGGGGATCCATTGTGGGGACCATGATGTGCCAGTTCGCATCACATCGCAGCAATCATCGTTGATAGCGGATCCGATATCCTCAACTCCCATGTGCGACCATGGATTTGTTGGGTAACCCATCATTCTCAACTCCCATGAGGTAACGGGAAATGGTGATGAATTGATGGTGCGACCATAATAAAGGCCCCCTATGCCGCATTTTTCCTGAACAGACATCATTGGAGCAGAGGGTTTATTACCATTCTTCTTAGTTATACCGTGAAAAACACCACATCAACTAGTTGCCTCACTCCAAATCAAGGTGATGCCCAGTTATAAGATGTTATGATTTGGCTTATACCCTCCACTAGTTCGATATATCAACCATAAACATAGAATTCAGCTAGTGATCTTTACCAACTTGGCGGGGGCACCTTGAAGATTGCTCGATTGCTCGGGATGAAAATCATCGAATATTTCCGGAAGTGGAGGGTTTAGACCCCAAAACATTATTACGGGTCTCTCATTTTTCAGGTTGTTGTTCATTTTCTGTATCTTTTTAGATAATTTTCTTCATCGTTTTTTTGAAAATGCCAAGTGATTTATCTCAACTATGACCAGACTCCAACAACTCGTGATGTCTTGCAAGAACTCGTTCCATCCATGTGGCCGCTGAGCTTGAGACGATGTGCCATGATTTATCTGGTTGAAGGGAGACAGATCCGTGCGGGGCATCAGTTAATGATAATGTTGATGGTGGTTTGGAACATTTTTTATTTTCCATAATATAATATATGGGATAATCCTTCCCATTGACGAACTCATATTTTTCAAGATGGTTAAAACCACCAAGCAGTAATGGTACCCTCTGGTAAACTAACATAGCTATTGAACATGGCCATAGAAGTAGTGGATTTTCCCATTAAGAATGGTGATTTTCCATAGCTATGTTAGTTTACCAGAGGGTAAACCACCATAAATCCGTATACCACCATAAATCCCATTAAATCCCATGTTGATGGTACTGTTCCCTTACTAAAGGTATCTTAGTCAATGGCAATGATGGTGACGGGCCAATGGGCCAATGGGCCAGGAAGCCTGGACCGACTGGACCGCTGAAAACCATCATCTTCCCACCGCATCCCAGTTGCTGGGTGGTACTCATTAAAATCCACTTCAGCTTTGTCTATATATTATATATGTCTGTATGGACATGTATGGTGTATATATATATATATGTATATATATATATACGTATGTATATATATATACACATGTTGTAAATGGCCGGAGACCCTCCAAAGATCGTGAACCAATGGTTGAAATTGCTGTGAACCCCACTGTAACCAACTGACCAAAAGATACAAAATCACTCAGTGAAAAGGCTTCTCAATCTTGTCCCTGCCGCACACTCCCTTCTGTTTTGTCGCACAGAAGAGAAGTCACCTGTTGTCACAAAACTGGAGCAGCCGGATGCTGCGAAGGAAAAAGGTCAGGCCAAACTGCTTGGCTGGTATGGGCGGCCACGCCCAAAGCAAGTGAACCCTGTCACACACACCGAAGCACCCAAATGGCTCTAAGACACAAATCCCGCCGCTGCCCACACCTAGCTCTCCTGAGCCTTGCGTCTGCAGAGAAACGTTGGATCAACAGGGAAGACCTGACATTGGCGGCTGTCACATAGTTGGATATTCACACTCGTCCTTTTTTATATTTTGATCCAACTCCATGCCTGCATGTTCACGCAGCCAACGAACACGGTCTCTGGACTGTGCTCTGTCTTTCAAAGTGGTACTTTCGTCAACCAGTCGATACTGACCCAAGTGTAAGGTCTCCCTCAAGAAATGGGCCTGCATGGCCTTGGTAAGGGCATCTGCTAACTGGGCTCCTGTGTGAACCCATCTTAGTTGAATACCTTCTTTAAGGGATTCCTTTTTAGATCTTGCCATGAGTTGAACCCTGAACTCTGAACATGATGGTGGGGCCGTCCTTGTAATCAAATCGAATAAAGATTTACAATCTGTCACTGCAACATCTTAGCTTTCATGGATTGTGGATACTGATACTGCAGGATCGAGTTGAAGTAAGGCTCTGTCAGGGTCTCTCCATGGAGTCTTTGGGTCGTGCAGCCATTGCCAGTGAAGGCGGATCCATGCCATCTGGTCCAATGCTGTCGCTAGCGAGGTTGTTTCAGCTGAGAGTGTGCTAGTGACCACTTTCTGGATTTTCTTGCTTCCCCAGGCCAAAGGACTTATAGGACACTGCATATTCTAATTGATATCTTCATGGGTGCCTACAATTATTGAACCTGCATGGGAATCTGGTTTCTTTGTGGAGGCAAATGAAGCATCTGAGAAGGCCATGAATCTAAAGCTCTTAGTGGGAATGGGCTTGATAGTGATAGTTACATCGTGGTAGCGTTTTGCCTCATGTAGTAACCGGTTGGCCGATTGAAGTGTCTCAATGGTGGCATGGTTAATTTCTGATTGGAGTAATGACAGTCGGCTTGATAGATCAGGTCTAGTGTTTGTCGCGGCATATTGAAGGGAGCCTATAAGACCCCTGAGATGACCTCTTTCAGTTTCGTTGACTGGTAATTCATGTTGGGTCTTGCGATGTGCTTCAATTGGAATTGATTGGGTTTTTCGGATATACGCTGATTGGCTCAAAACTATGCTATGGTCATATTTTGGGGTTAGCTCAATACCCGTAAAGGTGAAGGCTGTGGAACTTTTTGAACCAAAAGCATATTTTTGTTCAAGCTTATCCATGATCTGTTGGAATTCAGGTGTGCCCCCATATTTGCCATCATCCACATGCATACCCACTACACCAAGTAGTTGACCTTCTTTGGGGGTATTTTTGGGACCACGGAGGATGAAAACACATGGGTCAAAAGGACTTGTTTCGAGGCCTAGCCGGGTAAGTTCTCCAACCAAGGCTTTGTACCAGAGAAATGGAGCATCGATTAAGCCATAGGCTGCTTTGTTCAGCTGTCCCACTTCGTCTGGGCTCATTTGCATAGCCTTGCGGATTTCTGGGACTGGTTCCACTGCCATTATACGGTCTGCCTGAGGTTGACCCTGAGGCTGCCTTGATGTCAAAGGATTTCAACGTCCAACCATGACTAGCAATGCTCTGGAGAATCAACATTCTTGCTGTCTTATTAAGGGTAGGACTATCTCTTGGGATATCTTCGATTTTTGGGTCTAAATACCCTAAGACAACTAGTCTGGCCTTTGCCTTGTGGCTCGGTCCTGATGGTCCCCGTGCTGGAGCCTACAGTGTCGAGGGGTTTCCAAGTTAGGATCCAACGGCATCTCAAAATCTGAGATTCAGGAATCTGATTTCGCAGAACCTTAGGTGTTTTGGTTTGGATCCAGTTGGCTACCTCCGCGGCTTTGGCTTGCTCGAATTGGTCGCGCTCTTGCTTGGTGAGCTCATGAAGCCTCACTTCTGTTCTTTGCTTCTTGGCATTGGTGGCAAGTAGGATACATGATTCTTCGTGGGAAAGATTCTCTACTTGTGTCGATTCTGGGGTGTTTACATCAAACTCACATTTCCAAGCAAGATTCTGATCTGCATCGGTGCAAAGGGCATCGGTTTCTTCCACGCAGAGAAGTTGAAAGTCTTGACTTTCGGACTCGCTGGCAGGTACTGTGTCATCAGCAGCTGACACTTGTCGGCTCTCGATCTCAGGCTCATGATCGGGTTGACCGATCGGGCTCGTGACACTGGGATCACTTTCACGGCGCTCTTGGTCTGGGGTTGGATTATTGGGGTTATCGTGGTCTATTGGATTATTAATTTCTTCAGTTTCAGGAATGGCAGGTAGACTTTGGTTCATTCGTGTGATTTGTTGTTGAATGGAAGTTATATCCTCTGGTAAGAGCCCATCTTCCCTATCCCCTTCACTTGGATGTGCGAGACGGACATTTTCAGGTGCGCTGCGATACAATTTTCCTGCTTGGGTAGTCCACACGGTATGGTTAGAATCTTGGAGAATAATCCGTTGTGGGCCTATCCATTCTTGGGATTTTGATGAGGTGGTCCTCCATATCATAACCCAGGTGTTGGGATCATAGTTACCTCTTTCAGGGCAGGGTCGTCTCAACATGGCTCGTCGGATCGAGTCGCTGTTGTCAGCCGCATGAAAGGCCTTTCGGGCTGCCTCTCGAAGTTGCAACAGGTGTTTGAAACCCTTCGGATGCAACTCTTCTGGCTCCTGTACAGCTGAGACATGTGATGGGATTGACTCATCACTCATGATCGACCCTGGTACCCTACTGCTCTTGCCAAACACGATAATTTCTGGGCTGTACCCATGGCGGACTATCATGCTGTTCTTGGCTTGTGTGCATTGGTTCAAAGCTACCTGAAGGTCGGCATAAGTGCTGATGGGAAGATCCGTATCAATCCTTTGCAACATTTCCTGGATGAACCTACCATGCCTTTCTATTTTTCCATTCTGCCAATGGGCTTCGGGGCTGGTGACATTTGTTTTGATGCCATACTGTTGACAAAACTGCGAAAATTCTTCACTGATAAGCTCAGTACCTGAGTCATGTGTGATCTCAGCCGGGTACCCGGCCCAGGATATCCAGTGTTGCGACAGCAGCTGAATGACATGTTTGGCTGTGTGCGACGGCGCACAGAAAGCAGTGTGAAAGTTTGACCCCGCATCCAGCACATGGTAAAAGAAAAAGGTATTCTTCGCACTGTTGCTCCAGGAAATACCATCAATGTAAATCTTATGATTGAAATCCATCATTGGTTTGAGTGACCCTGGTCTCTGATGTTTCGGTGGAGTGTGGGTCAAACAGCTGGGACACACCAAGTCAAAAGCCGCCTGTACCATCTCAGGTCTCTGCCCAGAATTTCGAAGTGCTGTTGCTAGTCTCTCATTAGAAGGATGTTCCAAGTTCTTGTGAATCTGCATGAGTTTCAACCGTTCCCATCTTGGCAACATCATCACACTGGCGCTCTGGGTGGCATCTTTGGGCTGTTCAGGTGTCATTGGCTTGGAGACCGGAAAGATAGGCTGTGCTGTTGGGCGAACTTCGTCAGCCCTCGTGGTGTCTTGGGATTGAGGCAGGCTATCTACGGGTTCACCAGCTACCGGGACGTCCGGTTGCACACTTTGTGAGCTCTGTGAGTCACCGATCATGACTGGTTCTCGGTCTTTGGCAAACATGGTTACATTTAATCGGCACTGTGCGCTGGTCGGATGAGTTGTCTATTGGACAAACCTTGCCATTTTTCCCAATGGCTCTCAAATTTCACTTCACCAGTTCAATCGGGGCACTGTTCCTGCTGGAGGAGCTAGTGTGCGATCGGTTCCACGGCACGCCACAGCAGAAATGACTAGCTTGTCGGGAAACAATCATTGGAGGTCTGCCAAAATTTGAGGATTGGTTACCTGGTATTTACCTACTCTGGGGGTTACCTGATGAATCTTTTGAAGGCAACTTTGGTAATCTTCCAGATAGGGTTCTGTGGATGCTTACCTGTAAGCCGACGCCTCTTCTCATCCTTGTCATGCATTGGTGTTGGCTTGCTCAAGGCAGATCTAGGAAACTTTTCCTGCTGCTGGGCTTTCGGAACACTGATCGGACTTCTTTCTGGCCAATCGTCGGATAGGTTTCGGCAACATGACACCATGCTCCCACAGTCCAGTTGAATGGTCTTTGGAAGGGCGACTGGGACATGACTTTGGCAATCAATCGAGAAAACTTTCGGGGGTAAGATTCGGAAAACTCTGTGCGCAGGATGGGATGTTTCTCAAACATGGTCTTTCCCTCAATGCGTTGGTGGTTGCTATGGCTCGTGCATTTCCTACCATGGAGCTGGGCATATAACCCTGGATGGGTGGTGAGCACGGTCATTGGCTTTCGCATCGGAAGTCCTGATACTGGGTCGCTCAGGCCAAGAGTGCACATATCGAATTGACACGCTTGCGAATGTTCATGGATCTCGGACATACCATGCACATGCAACATCAGGGACCTGCTGGGCTGTTCAAAGTGAAAATGGCGGCCATGCATTACTTGATGTCTATACAGAACAATCTCCATGGCAACTTGATACATCAAATTTGATCTCAATTGTTGATACTTCAGTTGATTTTCCAGAGAACGGGAAGCATGATGACCAAGGACCACATGTAGGGCTATGCCATATGTGTTGGGGTCTATGTTGCGCAATCCATTGAAACAATTTCTGTCGGCTTTCCACTTTGGAAAGATCTCCATCGCCCAAGCTGAATCGGAATGCTTGATGGCCTAGCTGTCGAACCTGATGGGTCAAGGTCGAGTCGGCATCACAAAAGATTTCTCCTAGCATGAATGGCTGTCCCAACGGTCTGGTTGTGGCAATCGTTTGACTCAGTTCATGCTCCAGGATGCCTATCCATCTCCTAAGATTAACAGTGTCATGATGAGTCATGGTGAGGGCATCTGTGCAATCATCATGTCGGATGCTCGTTGGACCTACATTGACCCATGAATCTGGTTGGCATTCTCCAACGCCTGCGTTTCCAGGTGATTGACCACTTTGGTCAGTGCATTTTCCAGATTCATCAGGCGATCTCTCATGGCCATGAATTCCGGATCCTGGCTCGCTGGGGCAGGTACCATAGTCAAGGAGTTGTACATCTCGGCCTCCTCGAGCAGATCTTCTTCCAGCGATGGAAAATGGATTGACTCCATCAAGCCAGTATTCGGTGCCGCACCCACTTTGGCCTTGGCTTTGGGTTTGGCCATCGTTTTGGCACTTGAAGGGCCTTCTGCATGGCCAGAACCCCCACGTACCCTTGGCCCTGATGGACGATCACGGGCATCTGGTTCCCTTCGTGGTGCTGCACCATGAGTTCCGCGTACCTGAGAAACTTGCGGTGGGACAGATTGTGGCTCTTCCCATAACGATCCACCATGAAAGTCCCACTCCTGGTCGGAGTTCCAGACTTCCTGGTAACTGCGTCCGCAGTTCTTCTTGCCGAAGTCCACCGTCTCGATCTCCAACTCCTGAAGGGTCAGATGTGCCAAGTCGTTCGGTGATGGCTCGGCTTTGGACTGAATTCCGTTCAGGCGCAGGCTCAAGGACATGGCGACTTGGTTCAGCACGTGCAGCGTTGTCACAATTGGTGGGCGATCTCTCTTGGGCCAGGCTAGTGTTAACCGCAACATGTTTATTGGAATTCTGTACATCAGATTCAAATGAACAGGTCCGGACACCATCCCTTGGCTCTTGGGTCTCTGACAAAGGCATTGAGGGATTTTCTGCTGGAAAACCATGCTGACCCTTCCTACCTTCTGCTGCTTCGGTGGCATTTTCATCATGACATGCGGTCGTGGTGAAGGTTTCAACTGCAGACTTCGCCGCTGGCTGAAGGCTTTTAGGGCTTTTGGAAGCTCTTGCCAGCTCATTCAAGTCAATCAAAAACAGGCCTTTGTTGGTGAGTTCCATGCGGACTGGCTGCATGAGCTTAGGGCTTCGAAGCAAAAATGCGTCACAGTCGATCTGGGCCTGGAGTGCTCTCATCAGTGTATTGCTGATTAAAAACGGAGTGCTTCCGGGAACAACTGCAATTTTCAGCATGAGGTCTCCTACCGGGACAACTAATGCTTGGTCACTTGTGAGGGTACCCTGATTTCCAAACCGAAAGGTTATCTGGCACTTGCACCTCGTCAACCTGTTTCGAAGAGACTGGTCCAGGCTGCAGATCAAACTCTTCACATGTTCAGCTCCGATTACCGTTTTGGATGCACCAAGGTCGAGTACGCCAAACGTGGTGTGTGTTGCAAAACAAACTGGACTCACTTTGGCTTCAGGGACAACTTTGGAAAACCTGGGACAACTGTTCTTTACCTGTGGGTGCATCTCTCCATGGTTTCGGACACTGTCGGGGCATTGTGGTCTCACATCTTTGTGGAGACCTGGAACGGATCGGACATTGTGACTGGACATGATCGACGGTGGAGCATCATCTTCATTCCTGAGCAGGGACATGCGAAGGCGTTCTCTACTGGTCATTTGGCGACGTGCATCCCCAAGTTGGTTAATACTATGCCCCCTAGATTCCCCAAGAATCCTACCACGATAGTACAACCTATTTTCACTTGAGGCTATTTGACATACAAAAACTTCATTGGGCTCAGACAAGGCGACGTCTTCGTCTATGCTGGCTCCACAGGTCTTGGGCAGCTGCAGAAATTCGAGGGGCAGGCTATCGGCAGTCTCAGAATTGGCATCGGTCACCACGGTTCCGGTAGGAGCTTGCGAACTGCTGGATCCTGCATTCTGTGAGTTCTGTTGGAGAGGGCATTCTGCCTTCCAATGCCCCTTTTGGCCACAGGCCCGGCAATTGCTAGACAAAATCCTATCTTGGAGCGACCTTTTTGGTCTGAAACTGGAAAAGCCCTTGCCCTTGAAAGAACTGCGAGCACCGTACCCCTTTCCTTTGGATTGGGACGGCTGGAACGGTCGACTGGGAAAAAAGCCTCTGTTCCTGGCCTTTTCATTCAGCTTGTGCCTGGCAATCTGGTACGCCGAGTATGCACTCGCTAACTCCGGGTCTTCCTGTACAGTTTCACTCAAGGCACTCTCGAAATCATGAACTAGCAGCGCATCACTATCCCCCTCCTGAAGAAGGAGCTCCAACACTTCGTCCTCCTGCATCTGGTCCTCTGCAAGGAATGTTGGATCAGGATCATCACCATCCTGCGATGCTTCAGCCACCAGTGTGGTCTGATCATACACCTTGGACTTGACCGTACGCTTGTTGCCGGTGATGTCATGGAAAAACACCGACCCCAGCATTCTGATTGATTCTGCAACACGTTTGGTAGTTAACTGGCCCTCTGTCTCGGACTCCAGGATGATCTTTTTCTTGTCTTCTGCCGTCAAACTTGAACCCCTTAAGGTTATGAAAGCCTGAAGATCGGCCAGAGTCGTCTTCTGTGCCAGTAACTTGCTCCAATTCACATCAGCCCGAGCTAAGTAGGAATCGTTTGTTTCATCCCCATGTTGTTGGGTATGAAACAGGGCAATCTCAGCTTCCTCATACTTCTTGGCTAAAGGCACTCGTCCCCATTGTCCACCCAGAAGTTCGATCAGCTTCTTGATTGCGGATTCCTCACCTGTCAGCAGCTCTGCTTGATGTAATTGCAACTTCTGAAACGCAGATCCAGTGGTGTTGAGTATGAGACGTGTCGTCAACTCTGTCAACTTCGATTTTGGCCATGCGGCCGTCACCAGTTCAACTTTCTGTTGGTACGTTACCAAGTCATCACGGCTTGGGTCGAAGGTCGGCACTAACGATGCTAGCTGATTGCTAACACCCAGTTGCGTTGTCTCCGCAGCTGTTGTTGACATGCCTCCCCGGATACCCTCTCAAACTGAGAGGGCTCCGCTACCAATGTAAATGGCCGGAGACCCTCCAAAGATCGTGAACCAATGGTTGAAATTGCTGTGAACCCCACTGTAACCAACTGACCAAAAGATACAAAATCACTCAGTGAAAAGGCTTCTCAATCTTGTCCCTGCCGCACACTCCCTTCTGTTTTGTCGCACAGAAGAGAAGTCACCTGTTGTCACAAAACTGGAGCAGCCGGATGCTGCGAAGGAAAAAGGTCAGGCCAAACTGCTTGGCTGGTATGGGCGGCCACGCCCAAAGCAAGTGAACCCTGTCACACACCGAAGCACCCAAATGGCTCTAAGACACAAATCCCGCCGCTGCCCACACTAGCTCTCCTGAGCCTTGCGTCTGCAGAGAAACGTTGGATCAACAGGGAAGACCTGACATTGGCGGCTGTCACATAGTTGGATATTCACAACATGTATATATATATATATATCATATAGTATCACCACTTGCATATGGCTTACATGGCTTGTTACCACGGTACAGAGACTTGGATGGACATCCACGCATTGAAGCGTCGCTGATGTTCCCCGGATCTGCTTCCATGGTGCAGAATGGCGCCAGTTTCCCGCTCCCGACTCAGGGACAAGCTGAGCATGAGAGGAATGCCGATTGCCCAATGATGCCCAATGACTAGTGAGCTTTGTGCCACAATATCCTTGCCCAAGCAAGCAACAAGAAAGTTATTTTCCGTTCCATGGACAATGATTTACAGGTGTATAGCCACACAACCAAGCACTAAGTCACTAAGCTGCAAATACCTTGACCGTGCTGTACAGGTTTCAGGACTACTGATGCTGTAACCCTGCTTGCTACCATCCATGCAGAGCCAAGGTTGTTCTGTAAAATATCCTGTCCCTACTGCGAAATGGGGAGCAGTGCAGAGCCCGATTACCCCCAAAATCATTGAGCAGATGTGCCACCTAGAACTTCCGGCGTGGATCTATTCACTTTGGGATCCCATTTTTCGGGGGTTTGTATTTACTCCAAGCCATGGATATAAGGGATAGGGCCTGCCATGATGGTCATTCCGGAGGGCACGAGTCACACGCCAGTATTTAGCCATGAGTGTCGCTCAATACTCCCATGACTGTTGGTCAATACTTGCCCATATATGTATATATATATACATATCACTATATATACACATATATAGATAATTATACATACATACGTACATACATTTATATATATATATATATAAATACATGTATATGTACGTGTGTATATATATATATATATATACGCACCTATATTTAATATCTCTATTTGATATCTATATCTATATCTAGTCCTATATTTATACCTATCTCTACATCAAATATCTATATCAACTATTTATATCATATATACATACATCAAATATCTATCAAATTCCTACATCTAGTATCTATATCCAATATCTATATCAAATATCCATATCTAGTACTATATTCATAGCTATCTCTGTATCAAATATATGTATCAATTATTTATATCATATATATATATAAATATACACTATATATATATCAAATATATTTAAAATATCCAATATACTATATACAATACACGATATACTATTCATATACTATTGATATACTATTCATATACTATTCATATGCTATTCATATCCTATTCATATACTATTCATGTACTATTCGTATACTATTCATATACTATTCATATACTATTCATATACTACATACACTATATACACTATATACTCTATATATACTATTATAACTTGTTCATCATCATTACATTACGACGATGATGATCTTTACTGGTCCAGGCAAACGATGGCGTTTGAACGTATATATACCCTATATACTATATATATGCACTATATATGTATATATAGATACACACTATATATACTATATGTATATATATACACTCTATTATATAGACTAAATATACTATATAGACTGTATATACTATATATATATATTTATATTGTATAGACTATATGTATATATATTATTATACTATATATATATATATATATGCACTCTATATACTGTACATACTATATATGCTATATATATATATATATATATATACGCTTTAAATCTGAGAGCTGGCCTCTTTTTGCAAGGATTCATTTGGAATCGCAACTAATGTGGCATCCAGTTGTTTTCGACGTGACGAATGCTGTGTCGGGGGAGGACGGGACGTTGGAAGTCTCACGGTCGCGAAAAAGAGGAGCTCAAATGCTTGGGCTGTGGGGATGTGTTGAAACCACCAATCCGTTAATATTTTGCCGTTTGGAGGAGGAAAATATATATACTATATAATTATGAATATAATAATTATATATATATATATATGTGTATATATATATGTATATATATAGAGTATATATATACATACTATATATAGTATATATATACTATATATACACTATATATATTTATATACTACATATATATATACACATTATATATATATATGTATATATAGACATATATACACTATGTATATATATATACAGAACACACAAGACATATGCATGTACATATAGGTACGTAATTATGATGTTTCTTTGCCATCAACCCTCATGCCAACATCAACCAATACGCGATGGACATCGGGATCACGCAGCTTGGACCCCTTCAAGCAGAATTGTTTCCACATGCTTATGATATGTATATGGAGGATTGGGATCCCCAAAATGGTTTGTTTATAATGGAACATCCCTTGAAAATGGATGATTTGGGGGTACCACCATTTTAGGAAACCCTCATATACATATATTTATTGTCCTCTATCTTAAGTTTACATCTACTGGATGGTAAATGATGATTATCGTATACATGTATTCGATTCCATTGCAATCGTATTAATGTTGCGTAAAGTTTATCAATGACCCTGGATAGAAAGTCCCCAATTCTGGATCCCATGAATCAGCGAGTTCCAAAAGCCAGCCGGCCAATCACTAAGTGGGACCATCATTCGATGCTGAAATTCCATAGATGTATCCTGGAGATCGCCCAAATCAGCGATTGAAGTGAAGCAAAAGGATGAACATCCCATGGACTCATTCGGATATGGGGATTGGTCGCCTATGATACCCAGTGGACTTTGAGGACCAAAATCCCCCAAAAAACACCAGCTGAACTGAGAAATGTGAAGTCCGAGGTACCATGTTTTCAAGATAAGTCATGACTGGACCAAACGATGATTTAACTCCTATGGTAAACCAACATAGCCCATAGCTATGCCATGCTATCATGTGTAAATGGTCCATTCTCCATAACAATGTTTGTTTACCAGAGGGTACCTCCCATGGCAAGGCCACCGATACAAAAAGCCGATGCGCGATCCGGGAGAGGCTGCCGTGCCTAAGGCAAGGAGGCATCCGTTCTGGAAATGGGACGGTGTGTTCTGGGGGTACCCCAAGCTTGCTGGATGTTTATTTCAATGGAACATGTATGTTTTAGGGGTATCCTTGTTTCAGGAAACCCTATATATATATATATATACATGTGATACTATAGAAGATACTATATACTACAATACGGAAACAGATAGGATAGAATATATTGTATGCAATATTGTCAGTGCTGCTTTGCACATTACATTATATATTGTAGAACTTATTTGAAACTAGTATTGTTTAGAACTTTTGAAACTAATATAGTGTAGAACATATCATATGGGGTTTTTGTTTATTCTGTCTATGCAACCTACTATCTACACAAACATTAATATGCCTGACGCCCCTGGCGGCCATGAGGCGGTGATCATTTCTGTGTGTGGATTTTTTCCCATGGTTTCACTAGGAAGACGAGACTGATCTGTGGCTTTGTCAGATCTATGTTGGGTTATGGAAGGGCACATTGGCTTTTCATAAAATGGGACCTCCTAGCCTAGCACCAAAATCAGTAAAACTGGCGTCCTTTTTGGTGTCTGGAATCCCATGGCTTCAACGACCAATCTTGAGGGAGCTTGTCGTTGTCACCTAGACATGAGAAAATTCAGGGCGAACTGCTGTATGCGCAGGTTGAACATTCACTCTAGTAGTTTCATCCCTGAAAAAAGGACCTGTTTGAGTAGCAGTTGTATCTATGTCAATGTATGTGTGTGTACATATATATATATATGTATATATATATATATATATCATACAGCCCGAGCGCTGGTGAAGAATCGGAAAGCTTGAGGTCCAGGGTCCCTCAAATTCCTATTTTTAAATATGTAGCCCGCCTTGGAATCGAGCGCCTCAAATTCTTATACAGTGAATTCTTGTACAATACTCAAGCTGTATATGTATGTATATGTACATGGCCTTAAAGCCAAGAAACTCCAATGCTTGATAGGTCAGTCTGACATTCTTGTCTGACGCAACTTTTGCTTGCTTGTCAGAGACTCAAAAATGAAACCTTTCTGCTAGTTCAGTTTGCATGTCCGACCTGTTGCAAACATGGCTGTCCTGCATGCTTGTGCATTCTGTGAGCAGAGGTCTGTTTCCTGTTCGTGTAACACTTGAAGTTTTATGGCGTTGAAGCCGGTGAAGAAACTCCAATGCTTGATAGGTCAGTCTGACATTCTTGTCTGACGCAAACTTTTGCTTGCTTGTCAGAGGCACATAAATGAAACCTTTCTGCTAGTTCAGTTTGCATGTCCGACCTGTTGCAAACATGGCTGTCCTGCATGCTTTTGTGCATTCTGTGAGCGGAGGGCATTGAAGCCGGTGAAGAAACTCCAACGCTTGATAGGTCAGTCTGACATTCTTGTCTGACGCAAACTTTTGCTTGCTTGTCAGAGGCACATAAATGAAACCTTTCTGCTAGTTCAGTTTGCATGTCCGACCTGTTGCAAACATGGCTGTCCTGCATGCTTTTGTGCATTCTGTGAGCGGAGGTCTGTTTCCTGTTTGTGTAACACTTGAAGTTTTACGGCATTGAAGCCGGTGAAGAAACTCCAATGCTTGATAGGTCAGTCTGACATTCTTGTCTGACGCAAA